GGATGTGTAGGTTAATTGTGGAGTTGTTGTTGTGGGGAAATAGGGTGTTTGTTTGTGTAATTGATGTTGTGAAGGTAATAAGTTGTGGAAGTAAATATTAATGGGGGGAGATGTGTGTGTGTTAGTGGAGGTTGAAGTAAAGTTAAAGGTTTGTGGGGGGGGGGGAGGGGGGGGGGGGGGGGGGGGGGGGGCATGTCAGGCAGTTGTAGCCCATCGAGAGTGGGAGAAGAAAAGAAGAGCGCGAGCCGCTTTCGGGGTATTCCCTTGTCCCTGATTCGCAGAGCAGGTGGTGGCAAAGATGTTCTCGTCGGCGTTGTCGTTGTCGTTGTCGTTGTCGTTACTTCATGGAGCATTGCTCTTTTGAGGTCGGCGCTCCCGTAAATGCGAGCAATCGAAACGGCGAGGGTCAAAGCCATTTTGTGGACCAGAGCCACGAGATCACATCAGTGACCCAGGGCAATGCGAAACATCAACTGCTGCTCCAACACTAACCTACTATGAAACCTTCATGCAATGGAAGCAAGAAGAGCGACCTATTTCTTGCCTTCGTCATCCTACAGCACGCCTTGTCCTACCTAGGCTGCTGCTGTCGGGTTGATGGAGGCATCCATTTCAATGCAAACGACGAAGTCCATCTGAAAAAGTGGGTGGCAGTCTTGCTCGTTTCACTGAAACTGTGTACTTGCGTGCATGCACTCCAACCACAAGGTCGGAACATAAATCAACGTCAAGCTAACGTCGACAACGACAAGCGACAAGCGACAAGACCACCACCGCCACCAACAGCAACAATCCCAACAACGTCATCACCACCACCAACACCATACCAACACCGCCAACAACAACATCTTACTTGTCAGGGACGACATAGGAAACCCTGACGTAGGCGTTTCCGGGAAGGTTCAAGTCTGAGGAGATGAGCCCCTTGCCTCTAACCACGGCAATCTTGAGCGTCCCCACGGCTCTTAGGCGGACAGACATTGACAAAAAAAACAAGAGACGGGTAGCCGCGAAATAAAGTGAGAAAACACCCAAAAAACTGCGTCGTTGACGATGTGATACTGTATAGTGCAAGATGACTACAAGTATGCGCTGGAGAGCGAGATCACATGGCGAAAATATGGGACAGCAATAAACCATCACACGGCAAGAAATACGACATTTTTGCCGCCACCGATCTTCACTTCAGCGCCAACGTTCAACACGAAGGGCGTGCGAATAAGTGCCTGTAGCAAGATATACCTTTACGCGGGGAATCGAAGGAGGATACGGCAAGCATCACGACACGAATAAAAAAAGAAGAGGACAAGACTCCCACGATCGATCAGTAGATGCTGCGGCTCTTTATCGCGGCATGTGTTGGCCATGAGCAACAGGCGTCGACGTGAAAGAGAAGAGGGAAAGGTGAAACACACCAAACAAACCTCTTGCTGTTTTCCTCCGTGCGTGGCACCCCCCACGCCTCCAAAAACCAAACACGGTCACCTGAACCCAGCACCCTTCGACCCCCCCGGCCCTTGAGCACCGCCGCTTTCTGAGGACACCCACGATTGGACGTAACCGCCTCCGCGCCTCTGCAGGAAACCCCAGGTCATGAACATGAGCAGGGAGAAGGGCAGGAGGGCCAAGAGATACTCGGCGTTCGCGACCAGGGTGAGGTAGACGAAGGCCATCAGGCTGATGGAGGAGAGGGCGGGGTTGTCCCAGGACATGACGCGGCTGTAGCTGTGTAGCAAAGGCAATGGCAGAGGAAAGGGGTGGGGACGTGATAAATATGTATGCCAAGGCTAGGCATTGAAGAAGGTCATCTCTTAGCACCTCGCCCACAACAACAGCAGCAGCAGCATCAGCATCGGCGTCAGCATCAGCGTCAACAGCAACAGCAGCAGCATCAGCAAATAAATCACCCGGGAGGGCCATCTCACTCCACCCCCCCCCCTGTCTCCCCCTCGTGCTTGGCCATGTGATGTGATAGCCTGGTCCGGTAAAAACCTGGCGTATCGCTCCGTCCCGGATGCAAGGTCAATGGTCTAACGACTACGGCATGCACGACCACGACTATGAGTACACCCCCTCTCTCTCTCAGACGCCCCTTTATCTCTCACCAGTCCTTGGCCATCTTGAACCAAAGAAAAACGCCCTTTATCCTCGCCACCAACGACTTGAGGGTTTCTACCCCGAGGTCGGCCTTCTGACGGGGGGGCACAAGTCTGAGGGCGTCTCCCCCCCCCGGGCCTAGGATTCCGTTAGGCCCGAACAAGGCCTCGGTGCTCTCGTCGAACTCCACTCTCGCCTGCAGCAGGCGAGGGAAATGGGGGAGAATTTAAAAACGGGCAAAGAAGGTGACGTCATCATCAACCACCAGCAACATCTATGCTCGGGCCGAGCGTGTGCGTAACGTAATACATGACACCAACCAACAACAAAGACACGTGCTCCCCGGTCACCGACAACTGCACAAACGACAGGGCCGAGCTTGGGCAAGAGACATCACACCACCCAACATCAAAGAGGGATGATCCCATCACCCAATTCCCTTCCCAAGGCCTTCGCAAGAAGGGTTGCAGGCAAGCCACGTGAACGTGAAAGGGTAATGAACGCAGGAGTGCTTCGCGACAGCACTCGTGTAAGGTCTAGAGCAATATTCGGTGAGAGATCTTCCGGCCAAAGATGATGCTTTCTGCGCCGTAAGTAAGAAAGTACCACGACAGCTACAGGAACTCGCGAAGACAAGAAAACCGATAATTGCCCTCTTGTAAACAATGTTCCATGTATCACCACCCGATAAGCCATGCTTACAGACTTCTTAAGCCTCGTACAAAGGTCAAATCAGTTTTTGCTAAGGCCTATAGTTTGACCTATATGTGTTTTCTTGCATCACCTGCAGCAAGCCCGTGATGCTGGCCTCGTCTTCTGCCATGCCCGGGGACAAGAGCCTAATGTTCCTGTGTTCATGACTTGGTGGCGTTTTGCCGACCGCGCGGGCGTCGTAGTCCGCCTGAAAGGGGAGGATACCGTCAATACTAACACCAACCGCCACAGCAATGCCAACATTTACATCAAGATCGACATCGACATGAGCGTCCACAACATCAATAATCGACAGCATCAACATCAACTTCAACGTCGACATCGACGCCAACACGATCAACAACAACGTAAACAAAACTTGAGCAACAAAGAACCAAGCGTTAACATCAACGTCAACGTCACAACATCATATAAGTATCAACTTCAACAGCATCATCAACGGTCCACACTCAAAAACAAGAAGGGGACTTTCACCAATGAAACCCCCCCCCCCCCCTGCAAACCTACCACTGCTGCACATGGCCTGCATCAGTGCCAAAGGCACTGAGCAACAACACATGAATGGAATGACCTGAATCAGTGAGAAAATGACGCTAAACAACAACACCACAATGGTATGACGAGCATCAGCAAGAAAAAGGATGCTAAGCGACAACACCTGCAAGAGGCCGATGACGGTGGTTTCGAAACGCCCGGCCGGCCTATCGGTGGAGGCATCGACGAGGTCGATGGTGACACAAGAGTCGTAAGAGGGGGCCACGAACACCCACGTGCGTTCGAAGACGGGGTCTGGGGTCTGGAAGACGGCTTCGGTTCGAACCTCCTGAGGAACAAAAACGACGGCCGAACACAGGATGTGTTGTCAAGATCTGGTCCATACCGACAGTAAATTCACGGCAATAGAGAGACGTGACTTGCTTCGATGACAGTCAGCGGAGGACACCACTTGGTTGCTAGGAGAATTTGAAGTAATATGCATAGTCGGACGAACACCTACGCTGGTCTTTGTACCTTACGCGTCACGCAGAATGTGCAGGTGTATACACTCCTGTCCGCGTGAACCCTGTCGTTTCGCTAAACCGGCCTTTTCCACTCCAATGCCACCATAGGACCAAACGTTTTGTCGCCGCCGGAGATCTTGGCGATGAGCCAGTATGCCAATCCACACCACCACCAACGCCACAACATACAGTACTCAACCAACGCAACAAACAACATCAACAACACACCTGAGAACATTGCTAGTCTGTTAGAGGGGAGGAGGCCACACATATTCAGCAGATCGTGCACAACGCGAATGAACTCTCAAGTCATCGGCCGATCCAAACATGTGGCAGCGGTCACATCACGAAAAAATACCAGCAGCAACTTTCAACCACCAACACCGAAGCAGTATCAAGCCATTCCAAAGAGAAAAGGGCCACAAACGAGTAGAACCAAAACTAAAACGAGGAATCACATATAGGACAGGACCCCCCCCCTTACCTCCACCAGATCCGACGGATCCCCCTTCCGTCCCACTCTAACCCGGCAGTAGTGGTCCCCACGGAAAAAACCGTCATCTTCCTTCCATCCGTTCCCTCGTGCCCGTCGCCGACCAGGAGAAAACATGCCTCCATTTATCTGGAAACCTTTCTTTTCCGCGGCGCCCTTTGCCGCCTGGAACGGGTCGGTGGCAGTCGGCGTGCCGGCGGTGGCAGCTGCGGAGGCGGCGGCGGCGGAATACGTACCGCTTCCCATGAAACCGCCGCGTTCGTTGTCGAGGTAGCTGTGGTGGCCGCCGTTGCACCGCGTTCCGCAGCGGTGAGCAGAGCGCAGGTGAATCTGCAACGACAAAACCGAATATGGGGGAAACAAGCAAAACCAAAACCCGGCAGATGCGGCAGGCGATGAAAGTGCCAGTTTCAGAGGTCGTAGGCACACATGACCAAGCACAGAGGGGGAGGGGGGGAGCTACGGGGGGAATAAACGCAGGCGGCGGCGTCGAGAAACAAAACGGATGCGACACACTCAAGCCTGCACGTTCAAGGCTTCCCCAGGTCAGATCACACGAAAGGTAGACCAGAGAGGCGGACGTGCTCGTGCAGGACCCGCGCCGGCCACAAGCGCAGGGCACTTACACAAGTGATACAAGTCATTTGTTCTACTGCACCTGACGCATACGGCATTGAACCTCATCCACATGAAGCGTATCCCGAGAGCACCACCACACTCTCCTGCGACCCTCTCCAACGGCATCTCCCAAACACAAAACGCGTCTTCCAAAGTCATCCCGCCTACAGTACCTGAATGAGGCCCACCCCTTCCTCCACCTCTCTGCTTCTCCGGTTCCCCTCGGGGCCCCCGTCGTCTTCATTTCCACCTGTACCCTACAAGACCACGCGTCGGAATCCCGGGACGAAATACGTACAAACGCCACGAAAAAAATCTCAGTGCAACAAGCACATTTATGGAACAGATGTGTGTCTCGGGGTGTGAGGGCGATGGCGTTGACCTTTTCCCAGCGGGAGGGAAAAACAAAATAAATATCACTTGGGGAATTTCGCTTGGAAAATTGAGCACTACAGCTTGACCATACGCTCAGTCAGGCCGGGGTGTAACACTCTGACCCGACCACCGTACGGTCAAAAGCAAAGCAAAGCAAAGCTCTCGGGGCGTATCTTCTCGTTGGTCACGAAAAGCCGTCATCGAAGAAAGAAGAAAACGGTTTCCTGGGGTCTTCCCTTAACCTTTACTGGCGGAGAGCAGGAAGGGGGCCACCGGTCAAGTATCATGCTTGTCATAGGAAGGGGTAGACGTAATGACGGGTATCATACTATCATACTGCTGATCACCAGGAGGGGGGGGGGGCACCGTGACTGTTACCACAGAGACACGCATGCATACCTTCCTGCCCTGACCGGGGCACGACTTGGAAAAGTTGGCCCTCAGCTGGCAGCCCCGGTGTACGTTCATGCCACACGCCTCGCAGCAGAAGCCCTGGTTGCGCATCTGCCAAGCGAACAACAAACAAACGCGGGTGCACACAAGTTTGTCCTTCAAGAGGGCACCAGAAAGGATCACATTCCCGTCAACAGAGTGCTAAACATCCCAATCTCTTGTACGTAGCGTAGCGAATCCTGGCGGGGGCAGCTGCAAGGCACCCGCGAGCAAATAATTTCACCCGCTATTCGACGCTCCCTGGCTTTCATGAACAATCTTGTGATCTCATCAAGCTCTCGTCTGGGAAAGAGCATCCTCCTGGTTACTAAAGCCCCCCCCCCCCGTTCTATTCCTCCACCTACCCCGAGTAGAAACCTTCCGCAGATCTCGCACCACACGGGAGCGGAGTAAGTCTTGACACGGAAAAGGTGAACCTTTCCCTTTCCAGGCTCTTGCTCTTGTGTGCCATTCAGCTCCAACACCTCGCCGCTACCGGCGTCCACCTTGACAACACCCCCCCCCTCATCCGGAGTCTCCCCCGCCGCCTCTTCCGGCAACAAGAGACCTCCTCTGCCACCATCTCTCTCAGCATCGTCCAAGGCTTCCCCGCCGCCGACATCACCGTCGTGGATCAAGGCCGAGGAGGCCGCTTGAGCATCCACCACCCGCTGCGTAGAAGACAACGCGTCCGCTCGTTCCGCAGCCCCGCTGCTACTCGTGCCGCCGCCCCCGCCCTCGCCCGGCATCGCCGCTTCCCCCAGGCTGAACCCTTCCGGTATCGCGGGCGTTTCTGCTCGAGGGGTTCTCCTCCCGTTGTCCCCCCCCACCCACCCGAAGTTGGATGTACTGCAGCCGGCGGGGGATTCAGACGAGGCATGACGAGGAGTCCTATTGGAGGAGCCGATGACGAGAGGCGTTGCAGGCAGGGGACGGATGCTCGGTGTCCCCCCCGTAGGGGTGAACCCTAGCGAGAGGAGGATGGTTCCGGCGGAGGAGGGAGGGGACGTTCCCGCAACCTCCCCGGATAGTCGGGGGTCTCCGGTAGTCGAGGCGTGGTTCGGGTCGGACAGGACATGCCACCGTTCGGAAGTCGAGCCGGGCCGGGCGAGCAGGGGGGCCATGTTGATGGCGGCGTACCTGATGAACGGGGGGGGGGGGGGGGGGGGGGGGGGGGAAAAACCTAATTTTTTATTTTTCCCCCCAAAAAAAAAGGGGTTTTTAAATAATCCCCCCGGGGCCCCCCGGGGGAGGCGAAAAAAAAAAGGGAAAAAACACCCAATGTGTAACCCCCCCGGGGTTTTTTTTTTTTCCCCCGGCAGGAAAAAACCCCCCCAATAAAAAAAGGGGCAAAAATTTCCCCCGCAGAAACCCCAAAAAAAAAAAAGGCGGGGGGGGGGGCCTAAAAAAACCCCCCAAAAAGGGGGGTGGGGCTCACCCGGTCACCCCCCAAAAAAACCAAAGGGGGGGGGAGGGGGGCCCCCCTGGTTTGCCCCGGACCCCCCCCCCCCCCCGGGGGGGGG